TGGGGTTAGTTCGGAACTACCCCTATATGTTGGTGGCAAAATAAATAGTAAGAATATTCATCACCCTCGATTTTTCCTTTTTATGGTTATGAAAGAGCCCGCAGTCAACCAGATATGTGCACTGGGTAAACCTACACTCTCATATGATAGCTTCTAAACTATACGAGAGACGTAAACCAATACACTAGATTAAACACTAGTTTCCGAACTAGTGACCGTTGCCAAGGAAAAAAACACTAGTTTCCAAACATTGAGCACCACACATTGAACATGGTCCACACATGAACAACGTTAGACTTATGCTAATTAAGCCATTGGACCACATATAATATAAGGTGAATTGGATTCTTCCAATAATTTTGTCACACTTTATTCTTTGCGATGTCAGGTCAATTGTTCTAATGCATTCTTCTTCGCGTGACAACAAACGTGGTACAACAAATTTTCTTGCATCACTATTATTAATATTAAGGTTAAATTACACCTACACTCCTCAAATGTGCTAAAATAACTTTAAGGTCCTTATCATATCGGTAATTACAATCACTCTTATGAAACATCGTTATAAACTGTAACATGATAATGCATTAGGTACATGATTTCGATAGATTTCTAACGAACTAATGTTTCAGGAAGTGGTGGAGACAACGTAGAGCCATGTCACTTCAGGAAGTGTTGGAGACAATATCGAGCTAGGGTAAGGGTGAAAGTCGGATCGGAATTAGCCTTTTCGAAAAATTTCCTAAAATTTTTGGAAGTACAAAATCAGTTCCAATTCCAATTCCAAAATTTTTGGAATCTAAAAATTCATTCCAATTCCAAAAGGACCGGAAATTTCGGAATTTCGGAGAAAAAATCGGAAATCAAATAAGTTTTAAAATTTCAAACCTTAACGGATTTTTTTTGAAAATTTCATAATTTTTCAAAAATAAGAATATCCACGTCGATAAGTAAAACTAATAACTACTAAATTTCAGTTTAAAAAAATAAATAAAAATAAGCCACATAATTATATCCCATAAAACTTTTAACAACAATTCAATATGTCAAAATCCTAAAACAAAACTTAAATCAAATTACTGTTTCAAAAAACTTAAAATAAGTGTTATATAGTATAAATTATTTATTGGTTTATTTTCCAGAAGAAAATCGGAAATTTTCAGAAATTAAATCAGATCGAAAATCGAAAATTCCATTTTTTTTATATAATTCCAATTCCAATCCAAAAAAATCGAAAAAAAATTCAATTATCGGAATTTCGGAAGTCGGAATGAAAAAACTTGTTCCAAAATCGGAACTTTTCAGATCGGAACTTGCGGAAATCGGAACTTCCATTCCAACTTGCACCCCTAAGCTAGGGGATGTTAGAATCTATGTTGTCTCCACCACTTTCTGAGACTAATAGTCCCATTTGTAGATATATCGATATATAT